ACAATCTACCAAATGCAATGTGTAGCCGCACGCTTTGCACAGACAAAGCTTTCGCCCAGAGACCTCTTGTCAGCTAACACGCAGTGGCCGCTTCACCCACCAACGGATTTGATCGTTCTCAAAACTGAGTTTTCTTCAATTTAACTTAGAAGTGACATATAAATTAAAGATTGTGGCAATATTGATTATAAAAAAACTGTCTTACTATGATCGATTGTACAACTACATGACGTATGGAAGTGATTCACGAGGCCTTCCTTGACGTTGTTACATTGTCCTCATCAGAAATTATTACTCTGGTACATCTGAATTTTGCGATGGCATACACGTGGTATATGCGCTTTTGCACATTTGCACAAAAGAACAATGCGTTACGTTCACATAAGCACACCCATTATTAACTATCGTGAGGCATGAATGACAGCATTTATGTCAAGGATCTACATCGTGATCACGTTTTGTTCATCTGGTGTATCATTTATTTGTTTAAAAGATATGCACCTTTCTGGTGGTGATGCGGGCCAGCAATCATCACAAGAACGATGCGATTGAAGTAGCCCGGCCACCATTATGTCCGCTCGTATCCGCCATTATTTTCTAAATAATGGCGGCGCGTATTGAGGAAATGGCAAGGGTGCTACTCCTTTCATATTACTTAATGTGTACAATCCTCTTATGCTTTCGCCACATTGAAGTAACTTTGCGCTATTGACACATACCTGTGAGTGGTGGCAGGTGCCCAAAGCAAAAACTGTTTTATGCCTCAATTTTATCTCTAGTAACTGTATCGGGGAAATGGGTATTTCTATGGGTTATATACTCTAATCTAGAGCATCATTCTTCATGGACTCAAAAATATGACATAAATATCTATTCTAGAACTCAACACCAATCAATTGTGCCTTAGTGACGACATGGCGGAAGCAACAGCCGATGTACCTGGCGTGAAACAGCCTACGTGGTACCCGCCGCGTCCCATCGCAGGTCTAACTGAATACTGGGCTAAACACTATCCCCTGCGCTTGTATAACAGCATGACACGGTCTAAGAACGCTTTTGTACCCATGCAAGGCAAGCGCGTGCTTTGGTACATGTGCGGTCCCACGGTATACGACCAGACACATCTAGGCCATGGTCGTACGTATACGTGCTTTGATTACGTCCGTCGCATCCTTGAGGACTATTTTGGCCTGGAAGTGGAGCTTGTCATGAACATTACCGACGTCGATGATAAGATCATCTTGCGTGCTGCGGAAACCGGCTGGATCAAGGCCAATCCAGGGAAAAATCTTCCCCTCGATAAGGATGAAAAAGCCAAGCTTGTCATGAATTGGGCAGCTCAGCAGCCTACCGAGGACAACATGCGCCGTATGAGGGAGCTGTCCAAATTTTGGGAGAAATCTTTTCTGGACGATATGGCTGCGCTAAATATCAAGACTCCCACGGTTGTCACGCGCGTTAGCGAGTACGTGCCCGAGATTGTCGAGTTTGTTGAGGGAATAATGAAGAACGGTTTTGCATACGAAAGCAATGGTTCCGTTTACTTTGACACGGTGGCTTTTGGACGATCTGGGGGCAAAGCGTACGGCAAGCTTCTACCTGAAAATGTTGGTCAGTCGGAATTACTCGCCGAAGGTGAAGGTGCACTATCGGCTGGACAATCTGACAAGCGTAATGGTAACGATTTCGCACTATGGAAAAAGTCGAAAAGCGGTGAGCCTTTTTGGTCCTCGCCTTGGGGTGAGGGGCGTCCTGGTTGGCACATAGAATGTTCGGCCATGGCAAGCGATACCGTTAAACACTTGGCTGGCGGCAAGATTGATGTTCACTCGGGTGGAATTGATTTACGCTTTCCACACCACGATAATGAAATCGCACAGTCGGAGGCGTACTTTGACTTTTCGCAGTGGGTTAATTATTTCGTGCATACGGGTCACCTAAATATTGAGGGATTGAAAATGTCCAAGAGCCTGAAAAATTTTGTCAAGATTCAAGAAGCACTAATGGACAATACCCCACGTCAACTGCGCTTTCTGTTCTTGTTGCACAAGTATAATGTTCCCATGGATTATAACGACAACTCCATGGATGAGGCCGTTGGTGTCGACCGTTTTTTTACAGAGTTTTTTGCTAATGTGAAGGTACGTCTGCGAGAACTTGGGGTCGAAAAGACTCAAAAATGGACTTCTGTAGAGAAGGCGTTGCACGGTGCTCTGCTTGACTGCAAGGAGAAGGTGTTTCGCGCACTTTGTGACGACATCAACACTCCATTGGCACTTTTGCAATTACAGCAGTTGGCTAAAGAGATTAATCGCTACATGGCCGGTGATATTAATTCACAGGTCTCTATGCTTATTCGTGCCAGCGCTGAGTATATCACACACATGTTATCGATTTTTGGTTTAGTCACTTCGGCCACGGACATTGGTTTGCCACTAAGCTCAGGTGCTTGTGGTCATTCCGACCAAGAGACTATTCTTAGGCCAGTTCTCGATATCTTTGCACACTTTCGTGATGAAATTCGTGAGGCTGCTCGCTCTGCATTTGTGGAAAATGGTGATGCAAAGGAACTTTCAGGAGTTGTGCTACGATTGTGTGATGTAGTCCGTGATGAAAAGTTGCCGCACGCAGGTGTCCGTCTGGAGGACCGCTCTGCTGGTGTCGCTGTGTGGAAGTTAGCCAATAAAGGCGAGCTTATCGAAGAAATTGAGAAGAAAAAGCAAGAGAAGATTAGAAAAGAGGAACAGAAGCGATTGCGATTGGTTGAGGAGGCCAAAAAGAAGGCAGAGCTGGCGGACAAAAGTAGGATTTCACCTCAAGAAATGTTCTTAGATATGAAAGACAAGTACTCCAGGTTTGACAACGACGTAAGTGCAGTCGTGATCTCGTACATATTTGTGGTTTTAAAGAGCATTGTTATTTTGCAATCGCAGGGTCTACCGACACACAATAATGCAGGCGAGCCGTTGAGTAAGGGGCAAATGAAGAAGTTGGCAAAGGAGCAAGCCAAGCAAAAGGCCCTTCACCAGAAATACAACAGCAACTAGAACAAAGACAAATAAATGCATCAATGCATCTTGACAACGTATAAATTATAGAAACTTGAAAAACGACAAATTGACTTACGATATACAATCTCGATGTCAATCAATGTCCCAGTGTTCAAATCATACAAGACAAGCTAAGAAAGGGGCAAATACAATTATGATAATATCGGCGTTTCCAGGAGTGGTAATGAAAACTTGGCATCAGTCGTGTCGCCAGTTTTATGCGGTCGACAAAGCCTGGTCAATGCATCTTAAATTTTAAGTGGAATTAGTTTTATGTCGCAGCCATCTCGGTGTGGGCTTAGCTCCACAATTGTGTTGTCGTATGATTGCAGGTGCGGCACTTTGGCAGCTTCACAGCCAGCAAAGTAGCCCAAAAGGCAGCGCAAAATTGATTCGCTACAGATCACAAGTACGTCACGCTTCTTACGCTCAAACTCAATGATTAGTGAGCGCAAACGTGATATCACATCCACGTAACTCTCACCACCCACGCCAGGATACCGGTAACGAAGCTTGTCTTGTAACCGGGCTACGTAATGTTTAGGGTATAAGTGTTCAATCTCGTCATAAGTGAGTCCTTCAAAGTCACCACCGCCGAGTTCATTTAGTAACGTAGTCAAAACGTAGCGCTTTAACTCGCGAGTGGGGAGATATTCAGCTGTTTCTCTTGCCCGTTTCATTGGACTTGACCAAACCTCCATTGGGCGGACAAGCTGCAAGTTCTCGACAAACGACGCAATTGCACGTGCAACACGATGACCTTCGGGTGATAGCTCAGTATCTAATCCTAAAATCCCCTTGCAACTTGTGATGCTTGGACCAGGGCGCACTAACCAGATTCGACGTGGGCAAAGGTGTATATTCTGTAGCAATGATACGATTTGGCTTTGGAGGAAGCCCTGACAATACCGTGCTTGAATTTTCTCGCCGGCATTGTAGACCTTTACATAGCACGCATTACCGCTATCCTCAGTATCCTCCACTGTCTCGTAAACTTTCCCATATTCGTGCACGCGTTGCCTAAAATCCGCTAACGCCTCCTCAGGATCCTTATCTTTGTAATCAGCGTTTGTGAGTTTTCTAAAAGAAACATGAAAACGAAGACAATGAGCAGCTAGATGAGCGAATGCGAGATATAACTGAGATACAACTCACCGACGGTAGTTAATTTCAAGCAACTTCTTACTGTCACATATACTCTCGACGAACATGACGCGAACGTTTTGATGTGAGCTCACCTTTTCAAGGATATGCTGTCTACAGCAATAGTGAAAATCACGGTCACGTCATAACTAACCTCCTTCTTCCTTCCTACAGCCAAACCAAACCTTCGTAGTTTTGTCGTATTCGTTGCGTCGAATACCGCGACGTGTCCCTTGTCTTCAATCCATTCAAGCAAATTATCCAGAGCGTTCATTGCCATCTTCTCGCGAAGATTTGTGGCATCTTTGTTGTCAGCACTAAAGAAGGTCGAGTTCTCGCCAGCTTTGCCGAGTTGGCGACGCAGATTACCCACGTTAAACACACGCGTGGGAAAACCCAACCATTCGATATAACGTAATGTTTTGTGCACTACAAAGCTCTTGCCACGTGCAGGCAAGCCGACCATCACAAGCACAAGCTTTTTCTGGGAGGAAATTAAACCATCTGTGCCGGCGGTGCTGTCAGCGCTCTCCTCACTAATGGTGTCGTTATCCGCAAACGCGGCATCGTTCTGTGACACATTTTTCCACATCCATTGGGACTTGCGATCATCACCAAGACTGTTAAGGCGCTTAAGTCGCTGGTTGGCAAAGCGACGATGCATGGTCTTATACACGAGCAAGCGTTTGCGGCCATAGCGGATAGCTTCCTGTAGTGTCTCGCGATAGATCACCACTTGAAGGGCAAGCGCTAGCGCTAGCCCCATAGACCAGCCGATACCAACAGGGGTCGGTAGTTTGAATTTCATGCGATTACTATCAGCGTCAATTTAAATTGTGAATGAACTGAATATTTGTTTTCCGTGAGACCGAGTGATCTCTTCTTTAAGGCCTTGCCAAAAAGCTGGGCGAGAAAAATCGCTCGCTATGCATAGACGCCAAGAAAAGTTAGATCAACAGTATTGGCAACGTTATGAATTGCGAATCGCAGCTGCAAGACAAATTCAGGTAAAGTAGCAGGATAAATCATCGGACATGGTGGAGAACGACCTGACACGCGTGCCCAATACTATGGTAGCGCGTCTTCCGCGGTTGGCGTGCACGGCAACGCGTTGTGCACCGAGTGCGAGTCGACATGGAGCATTTAATTGCCGACATTCAGCACCAACTCGACGGCGAGTGGTTGTTGCTTGGACTTGCAGCGGCAAAAATACCGTCTTTCTCGTTAGACTGGGGACCTGACGCTAAGCTGCGGTTGCCACGCATGGAGGACTTGCTTTTCGGCGTTTCAATAAACTTTCCGATCAGCGATATAAACTATGAACAGCAAGGTGAACTTAGCAGCAGTCCAAGCGAAAATGAGCAAGCTACCAGTCCAAGTTGCTCGCGGAAGTCGACAGTTGATTTGATGTCGCCGGACAAGGGTCTGTCGATTGCACCAGTTGTCGGCAGCGCGTCTGAAAGCCACCAACCCACTAGCGACATCGATGTTATCGACACAGAAAGTTTACGTAGTTTCAGGGACAGCTCGAACACCAGCTCGCATGACGAGTGCATCGACTTACGCGACACTGCCATTCAAGCTGAACCGCCAGTGAGCGCTGAAGCGAAGCATATTAAGAGTCAAGAAGGCAGCAAGTGCAATCACAGGACCGATAACCAGTTGGCGAGTGTGCAAAACATTCTTCGGGTGAAAACACCATCCGAAATTATTTTGCTTGAGCTCGAGTGGGCTCGTCAGGCACTACTTGATAGGCGAAAGGTACTTGTGTGTTGCTGCGTTTATAAAATCGTTGACCAGTAGTAGCATATTAATTTGATTTGTCGTTGTGCTTCAGTATTTAAGATCTAAGAGGCGTGTCGAAAAAGCTGCTCCGACTCAAGAAGCGAAGTGAAAACGTCTAAATCTCAATCTATGTTGATGCCATGAAAAGCATCATATCAAGTGGAGCCATTTTTTTGGTGTATACACTAGCAAAATATAATCTCAAAAGCGCATATCGTGGATCCGGTCGTTCTTTGTGAGTGTGAACTTTGCATTCAGGTACGCGCGAAGGTAAGGCTCTTTTGCAAGTTTTTGCATGAGAAGCGCGTCAACTGCCTTTTGGTCGCTTTTTCTCTGCTCCGCGATAACAGGCGTCACCTGCACAACTCAAGCAACTGTCAGCATATACAAAAAAAAATTTGGCTGCAGGTGTCATCATACTGGTATACTGCTTTTCTTTGACGGCGTTTTGGCAAAATAGTTGTCGCCGATATTTGGCAGCGTGACGTTCGACAAATCAAGTCGGGTCGATGTAGCGATAACAAATGCCTGGTTCACGCGACGCAGTGGTACGCCATTCACTTTGTACGGGCCTGCTAACCACAGCGACCAAATTAACGTGTCAGCATCATACCAACGATCTTTGACTCGGCTGCGCTTGTAAATATGCGTCTAAAATCCAGTGACTAAGCTACTCAGCGTGCCACGATCATGCTTTAGACAGAGCAGATTGACAAAATTGACATAATCGCCTAACGTAGTGTAATATTCACTTAACGTGATGCACTTACCCGTAATTAATAATGTACCTGACGGTAGCTGCTTAAGAAACACAACTCGTGTGCCGCGAAAGCGCCCAGAAAGTAGAATGAGAACAGTGCCAGGCGTAATTGACTTGCGCAGCTTAGCCGTCTTTACGCTATTGCGTTTGGTCTTGGCCGACGGCAACAATTTCGGGATGCAGTCGACAGGATACCACTTCGAGGTCAAGTGCACGATACGCGCAGGAATGTTTTGAATATGATTGTTTCTGCCGGATGCGTCGGCAACCACGCAATCGGAAGCCTCTGCCAGACTGTTGGTGAAAGTGGCATTGGTGGGTTGAGTCACATGAGCCTTGGTGACCATGTGCTGAAATTTGATTCCTAACTCTATTTTTATAGTTTTTAAATTGTTGCTTGCCTTTTCTAGAGTTTACTGACTGATAATTGGTTTTCTATTTATTAAAAAGCTCACTTAAGTCAAATTTTAATAATTCCAAAATTTTCTAGCGACATCTCAGAGACCTCAAGAGACGATACCTCCTTGAGCCCGTTATGCTTGTATCTTGGTATACGGGAGTGTGTTATATGCAGTCGATCAAACACAAAAAAGTCTGCACGTTTGTTTTGAACCAATTTTACGCTGCAGCCAAATTATAAACGCTTACTGATTATATATCTAGTTTTGAAATATAATTTCCCTATCAGGCTCTCGCGCTGGAAATAATTAAGCAAATGAACCTGTAGGGCAAATCTAAGGTGTTTAATGCACTAATTTTACCTGTTTTTCACAACCGTTCCCATTAATCTGACCAACTACCCTTAGAATCTCCACCAACTGCATGTAAAGTCAGACCTATCCGTCTTCTGTGACGACCGCCAATATTTCCGCAACATTATGACGCAACCAACTTTTTAAATTCATAAAAACAAACACGCATCATGGCATGGCGTCCACTCCAAACAATTGCGTCTGAGAAGCCTAATACCGGCCAGAACGGACTCGTGATCTCCACCCCGCTGGGGGTTTAATACAAAGTGTGTGTTGCAGTGCCATTTAGGAAGTCTGGATCTGAAATACAAATTAAACATTGATCCTAGACGTGTGCACTGATGACTAGAAATTCTATGGACTGCATGCAAAGATACAGCGTCCATTGTTTACCCCAGGACGTCGCTGGTTGGTGTGTGCACTGGATGCGAGAGCTATAATGTAGTTTGTTGGCCATTTCCAGATTTCGATTTACGACACAATTACACCACGACACGCACCCAAAAACCGTGGAGATACCTGAGATCGCGCAGACCGTGCCGTTGAGGCGCTCAGCGAGGATGGTTTATTGTCAATTTGGCTTTGTAATTCATCGTCGAGTAGTCTTACATGTCCTATTCATACTGGAGCTGAGTACAATATAGCATTGGCACAGTTAGAGAAGCAAGAAATTGAGTACTTCGCAGATAGTAGTTTAAAGTCAAATGCTAGCTCAGATTAAAATGTAAGATACAAAGATGCTACGTATATTCGAGATGTACAATACATCTCATGTATATTCAAAGTCAATAAAGTCAGAGAAATTTCTATAAACCTGCTGATTAATTGTAACATTAATCACTTCTCAATTTGCCGGCTACTACGCGAGTCAAATCCCTAGAAGTGCTCCCCAACCCCCAGCCCTCCACTCCAGTTGCTACTCCCCTTTTCTGAAGATGAAATATCCAGCTG